ATTTTTGGAGATTAGTCATGATTAGTAGATGACCCTATTGATTTTGAGGTCACCAGGTTAAATGTCAAGGTCACAGGGGCCTTGACTTCAAAAAGCATGTCTGCCCAATAACTTAAGATTCCTTTGACCTACAGTCGTCATATTTGGCATGGATGTTGATCATGATTAGTAGATGACCCCTTTTGCTTTTGAGGTCACTGGATCAAAGGTCAAGGTCATAGGGGCCTTCACTTCAAAAAGATTGTACGTCCAATAACTTAAGATTCCTTTGACCCACATTCTTCATATTTGGCATGGAGGTTAGTCATGACGAGTAGATGACCCCTATTGATTTTGAGGTCACCAGGTTAAAGGTCAAGGTCACAGGGGCCTTGACTTCAAAAAGCTTGTCCGCCCAATAACTTTAGATTCCTTTGACCCATAGTCTTCATATTTGGCATGGAGGTTAGTCATGATTAGTAGATGACCCCTATTGATTTTTGAGGTCACCAGGTCAAAGGTCAAGGTCACAGGGACTTTGACTTCAAAAAAGTTTGTCTGCCCAATAACTTTAGATTCCTTTGACCCACAGTCTTCATATTGGCATGGATGTTGATCATGATTAGTAGATGACCCCTTTTGATTTTGAGGTCACTGGATCAAAGGTCAAGGTCATAGGGACTTTGACTTCAAAAAAAGTTTGTCCACCCATAAACTTAAGATTCCTTTGACCCACAGTCTTCATATTTGGCATGGATGTTGATCATGACTATAAGGTGACCCCTATTGATTTTGAAGTCACTGGGTCAAAGGTCAAGGTCACAGGGACCTTGACAAAAAAAGATTTTCTTCTCAATTGCTAAAGAATGTCCTGTCCGCAATGTATTGACATTTTCACATTTGAAGTATGTAGAATACATAACTTAGCAATGCACTGGCTTAGTAACCTCAGATTTGGCAGGGAGGTTGTCCTTGAGCTCTAAATGGCCACTGTTGATTCTGACAAAGTGGTATGTGGGGGTATTCACGCCATGATAGTGGCAGTTCTAGTTTTAACAGCATATCACTTTTGATAGTGGGGAAAAGAATGAATGGATACGGTTGCAGATTTGCATTGAATTTACTAATTCCATAAACTAAGATAAATCTTGTGTATAGGTTTAACTCATGAAAGGGAACCATTTATCATAGACATATATAGTGGCATGCCCCATGATTATGAACACTTGAGTAAAGATAGCTGTTTTTGAATGCTTGTTGGAACTCTTCAACAGACTTTGCTAGTCCTATGATACTTTTCCAAAATATGTGGTTGAGATGATGGACTCATAATAATTTGCTTGATCCTGTCTGAAATATGCACTGAGTGACACCTGTGGTTTTTTTCTACCTGTGGATTAGAGAAGTTTCCATAGGACTTTGATAATAATAATGTGACAAAGATCAAATAAAATTATCTAACCTCATGTAATGAATACTGCTAATAAAGGGCGGCTATAATAGTTTTTCTTATGTCGTATTTGCTATGAGCCATTTTATTCTTTGACCAAATGTAATAAAATCAAAACATACAGTCGATTCTAAGGTACAAATATGTTGAAAAATTACTAAATAATGTATTAATAACTCACATAATGCTTGATGTTGGTAAAACAGAATACTTGAATAACCTAGATGTACTTATTCTTGGCCAGGTGAAAGACACTGTATTCACATAAAATTGTACTTTTATATTGGATACTGCAATTGTAGAGCTTACACATAAAACCTTTCTGGAAGAATTAGGGGCAGTGTATTGAAATAAAAATTTAAAAAAAATATCAACAACTTTGTTTACTGACAGACCTTGAATTTTACCAATTTTATTGCATATAAAAATTATACTTGTATGCTTTTGGATATTCTTTGACTGATATTTATATTTTTATACCTTAGATTAATTAATGCCAGAACTTCTAAATTGCATTTCTTAATGCCATGCAGATCTGCTATTTTGGAGTGTTGGCCAATTATAATTGAGAGAACATGCCTAGTAGAAAATTGTTTCAATAAAGCAAAAACAAAATAATATGTGCCAAAATACAAAGTAAAATCTGGCAGAATTACTGTTTAGTTTATAATCATCGGAGATGAATGCTTATTCTTAGGTGTCTCATAGTAAACTATTGCCTGATAATTACAAGGTAGTATTACCAATTAATGGAATTTTTATACCAGAAATCATGAATTTATTATGCCCCTTAGTGACACAGATTGATGTGTAAGGCTTGGGTGGGGGAGATACAGATTTGCCCTTGATCATCCCCCACCGTTGAATTTAACAGTCCTGCTGTCAGAATAGGGTTACTTTAAATGGAGCTGATTTGTAGAAGTGACATATTGACATCAGTAAATCTAAATAATGCTTCAAAATTTCCTCCAGATTAATGCTTATATATGTGAAATTATGTAACTTAAAAAAAGTACTTTTAAAATAGTTAAAAACTTGATAAAATATTGATAAAATATATACAAATTAAAGCAATTAAAGCAAACAATATATACAAATTAAAAGCATAGCAATATATATATATAATTAAAGCAAATTAAGCAAGCTAACTTAATACATTCACAAAACATCAAATTTAACCATGAAAACATAAAAAGATATATAATCTGGTCTGTTAAAAGTTATATGACAGAAACAAGTAAAACAAGTTAAGTGACTGCCTTAAGGTATATGATTTAAATATTGTTTGTTTTAACTTCTTCCTTGTAATATGACCCTATACTCAGCCCCTGTGCCTAATAAATGAGGCATATTGATTTTAATAACCTTTCATAGAATCATGCACAATGATTGGTGCTTGTAGTAAGTGCTTGTGCTGAGCAATAAAACATACACATTGAATATTTAGACTCACAATAAAGGATTTAACTCAATACAGGATAGGAGCAGTACCTCTAGACGCTTGCAGAAATCATTATCAGAAAATAGACAAATATCGTTTTTTTTCGCCGATTATCACATTTTTCATTCATTATTGTACATAAATCGGTGTGAAAAGATGAATTAGACCTTTCAGTTCATTCCTTTGGGTAAAAAGGCAAGATTTTAGCATTTTATCATTCAAGGGCCGTGTCGGGTATATACCGGAATACGGTGTTTAGTGTGATGCTCCAATCCTTATTTAGTCTCACTCCACAATAAATGATAAGGTGGTCTCAGTAATTCACAGTGTTGAATGATAGTTATGTATTTCATCTTGAAATTTTTTTTATAGTAGATTAAATTTGTAATGAATTTGTTCTCATTTTAGGTGAGACAGGGAAGTTTTACTGTGGAATGAAACTGTTGACATGTACATGCTGTGACGGACATTGTGGACCAGAAAATGGGTGTAACTGTGATGCTTGTGCTGCCCTGGATAAGGAGGAGGAGGAGAATGGGGCGGAGCTTGCTCGAAAACCTCCACCTGCTGGTCCCATGATTGACAGCTGGACATGGGGAGAGGAACCAGGTTAGCTGAGTGACAACAATAATTAGAGTAAAAAAGGGGGGAAGATAAAGAGAAGGTTTTATATGATAAAGTAGTAAACTTTAAATCTAAGGTTTATATCCTTTGAGCATGTTCTAAAGTTATAAAATTCAAGTTCAAGGTTTATTTCTTTTGAGCATGTCCAGAATTAGCATCTATTTTCACATTCATGTTCAGAATCATAATTGTTGCTTTACTTTCTCAGAATCAGAATTGTTGCTTTACTTTCTCACTCTTTGGGTAGCATCTCATTGCTATGCAAAATTGTAAGGACAGTAAATTAAAACTAGATATTCTTAACCATTTAAATGCTAGAAATTTTGAGTAATGATAGGCCTATGCCCCCTATATATAGCTAAGGTAGCCTTTATATCTGTGCTGTCTGACCATACTCTTGGACAATAGACTGCTGAGATAAAGTAATTCTAAAATTTCAGTTCCTTACGTGTGTAATGGACAGTTTTCAAATTAGACAAGTTGATAACAGAAATTCCATTTGTGGAATAAAAAACAATTACAATATTCTTTATGTTTTGTAGCCATTATGCTTTGCTTTAAAACAGAAGTAAGGCATTACTTTGTATGTGTGACAACTGGTATGTAAATGTAATTAAATTAGAGTTGTTCCCATAGCAATGGTTGTTTTAAAAGCTAGTAAGTAGTTGGTTAACCTTTTCCCTTATATAAGCGTGTTTCAACGACTTTTTGCCCCCCCCCCCCTTTTGAGGCCTCAAACAGTGAAAAAATGCCTAATTTAGACCCCAAACACTGTTTTTCGTTTGAGAAATGTTGTTAAAAAAAGTGACCACTTTTTCGGCGCCGTCCTCCATCCAAATACAGTCGAGACTGTCATATGTGACTTTCCAAGGGATCTTCAGAAAAAGGTCACATATGACAGGGAGTCTCTAAATACAGTCTCAAAGAAAATTAAATTTAAGTATCATCTAGCTGTCTATATACCATTGTGACTTAAAGGGATATTCAGGCAAAATCATGACAAAACTATCAAAATGATCTTATGTACTCAAATCACGCTAAAATGACATTTCTTAAAGTTTCAGCATGAATTTCTGTTTAAATTCTACATATTTTGGGTTTGAAGCATAAACATATCTATTTTATTGAACAAAACTTAGACGCCAATAAAATCACCGAATAGTTTTAAAACAAGTCATGTCACTTGAATAAGCTCTTGAAGTTACAATAAAAGATATTGTGGATATTGTAGGATTGAAACAAGTCTAAGTCATTCATTTGACATGTTCTTTAACGTTTCCAGAGGTCACTGTGACAACTTTTGTGAAATCCTAGTGCTCTAACCTGACCCACGCGGGTCAAGTTAGGAAACCACCATTTTATTTTTCATACGGAGAAAAGTTTTGTTCTTTTGACTGTCTAATCACGGATTTATATTACAAGGATCGGACACTTTCGTTTAGCTTAAAGTCCCGTCGCGGCATTCGCGGAATCGGATAAAGGTGGACAGAATGAGATGGCGGAACGCGCAGAGTACGAAATATGACAGATTTTCACCGGAGTATGTGGTGTTATTGCAGCTTTGTGAAAAATTATACACATATGAATGTATTGATGCAGTATTATTTTGTGTCGCTAAAGTATTAATATATAAAAATATGCTGATAGAAACGCCTGCAACGCTTAGTTAAAAAGTACCTAATTTAAAAAATATTCGCCTATTGTTTAGGCATACTCTCTACACTTCGCCGCCCTTTTACTTCAAGCACGAATTATTACCGCGATTCAGAATAAGATAATTATTTTTTACATGGTTTAATGATGGCCATTGCAAAAAAATGTTTCTTGATTGCTAAAAAACTTTTAAAGAAATTCATGTTTGAAATGTGTCTTTATTTCTGTGAATTTATTTCCAAATGCTTTGTGCATTTTTTATTTGATTACCTGTATATTAGTATAAATATAGTAAATATTCTACTAATAAGTGTATTAAATTAGTAATTTTCAAACCATTCTAGAAAGCATTCCTATAGATGAATTCATTAGATTGGCAAGGAAGAAATTTTTATTGGCATAAGAGAACAGCTGTTTTATAATATTATTTTTTTATTTTGAAACATACTTTTTTCATGGTTACCCTTAACAATTCACGTCAAATGATTTATTTATCACATGTTTATTTTTCATTATTTTTCAGAGAAAAGGACTATACAAATTTTGTATATTTTCATTTCATTTATAAATGTTTAATAAATAAAAATAGATTTACATTGTATTTATATATATCCTCTTCAGAATCATTTTCTTACCACATATATGCCATGCTATGGACTGTAGTTAAAGACCGCGCATACACAAAATATACATTCAAATTCTATTTGTTTTGAAGATTGAGTGTTGCAATTATCACATGTAACCTGGTAATGTAGTTTGGAAATAAAGTTTTTTAATTATCACTTACCCCCCTTCAAAAGTAATTAAACTTGAAAATAATTTAAGCGATGTGTAAAAAATAATCAACAGTTCCTTCTATTTCGCAAAATACTGACTCAAACTGGTAAAGATTTTTATTGTTTTTCTAGCGTTACATTAAAAAGTATCATAAATATCTTTCTACAGGCATTCAAATAAAAAGAATAATTAAAATATACAGATTAAAATATACGAGTGACATTAAAAAGGCCGGAATCGAGACAGCCACACGAGAGAACTTTACTGTTACGATGATTGTCTACTTCACTGCACCGACATTTGAAAACAGATTTACAAAAAATAATAATGATATAAATGATGAATGAAATTTAAATATTCTATGAATATGGCAATAGTGACAATCTCGGCAATATTTTGTACTAAAAAATTTATAAATTTTCTTCACGTGTAAAGGCCGCAATTCATTACCCGTATAACAATTGTGCGTTAATAAATTTGACTACATAACCCAATAAATCTTAAATATTGCATCTTTGATCATCTGTGAATAACTTACATCGGCTTCTTTTTTATTTTGAAACTGAAAGTATTATGGTACTGTAATAATAGATTTCAAATACCTGCTTTTTATATAAAAAATGTAAATTTACCGCGGAATTTCGTCAAGTTAATTTTTTAACCGTCGTTGCGGACGGATAAACTGTACCTTTAAAAAATAAATTAGATATTTGAATTAAAACAAGTATTTTCTTCAAAATAAACTTTAAATTTCCAAAATCGGATAATAAATGGAAAAGTTATATGGTATTTTGTAAAGTAGGTATCCGTTGCGAACGGACATTTACGCTTAGCGCCGGTAAATTATCGATCGATGTACCTTTATCGGGCGCACGACAAGATATTAAAGCATTTATATAGGGTTAACTGGGAGTGTCCGATCCCTGTAATATAAATCCGTGGTCTAATGTATTTACTTTGGGGGCATTAACAGAATAATAAATGAAAAATCCAAAACTAAGACATGAACATTTTGCCTGTGTCTCCCTTTAAAGATCCTTTATGTTTTGTGATTGATATTGTTACAGAGTGTATACCACACTTGCAAAAAAAATATATATGGATATAATTATGCAAATAAAATAATTTTCAAACATCAAAGAATAATTATGTAAAATGTGTACTGAAAATATTTGTGCACTTTATATTTAATCAATAAATTACATGCATTGATTACTTATTGGAAAATTTAACTTAGAATTTATAGAAAATAAAGTTCTAATTACCTCCCTTTAATGGCCTTTATTTATATGAAATGTTAAATTAGGTGATATCTTTATAAAAAATGCTTATTTGAACTTACAATATTGACAAATCTTAATTTGAGCATCATATTTATGGAATAAGACCATGAAAAATTGTGTTACAGGATCTTTCAACATATCCATATCCAAAGTTTTTTATACGCCCGTTTGAAAAACGGGACGTATTATGGGAACGCCCCTGGTGGGCGGGCGGTCGGGCGGGCTGGCGGCATCCAATTTTGTCCGGAGTATATCTCCTACATGTATGGAGGGATTTTAATGAAACTTCATAGAAATGTTCACCACTATGAGGAGCAGTGTCGCGCACATGAACCAGGTCTCTAGGTCAAAGGTCAAGGTCACACTTAGAGCTCATTGAAAAATGCTTGTCCGGAGCAAAACTTCCACATGTATAGAGGGATTTCAATATTACTTGGCACAAATGTTCACCATTGTGAGGCGGAGTGTCGCGCGCAAGATTCAGGTCCTTGCGGCCAAGGTCAAGGTCACACATAGAGGTCAAAGTTGTGATAAAAATATGAGAATGTGTATATATGGACCATTTAGTCATCATTTATTGACGGGGATTGTAACACAAATGGTCATTATCAAGACTATGGCTGTGATACATATAATTTAGGTCAATATATACAAGGTCAAGGTCACTAAAGATGATGAAATATCCAGATTTTGTCCGCAGCATATCTCCTACACGCATGGAGGGATTTTAATGAAATTTCATAGAAATGTTCACCATTATGAGAAGCCATGTCACGCACATGAACTAGGTCTCTAGGTCAAAGGTCAAGGTCACACTTGGAGCTCATTGAAAAACGCTTGTCCGGAGCAAAACTTCCACATGCATAGAGGGATTTCAATATAACTTGGCACAAATGTTCACCATTGTGAGGCGGAGTGTCGCGCACAAAATTCAGGTCCCTGCAGCCAAGGTCAAGGTCACATATAGAGGTGAAAGTTTAGATAAAAATATGAAGATGTGTATAGGGACGATTTAATCATCATTTATTGAGGGATTGTAACACAAATGGTCATTATCATGACTACGGCTGTGACACATGTACTTTAGGTCAATATATGCAAGGTCAAGGTCACTAAAGATGGTGAAATATCCAGATTTTGTCTGGAGCATATCTCCTACATGTATGGAAGAATTTTTATAATACTTTATGGAAATGTTCACCACCATGATATGTATTGCTCCATGCATGATCCAGGTCAAAGGTCAAGGTCACAACTTAGAGCTCATTGAAAAACGCTTGCCCGGAGCAAAACTTCTACATTCATAGGGGGATTTTCAATATAACTTGGCACAAATGTTCACCATTGTGAGGCTGAGTGTCGCGCGCAAAATTCAGATCCCTGCGACCAAAGTCTTACACATGAGAGGTCAAAGTTTCAGATAAAAATTTGAAGATGTGTATAGGACCAGCCCAATTTAGTCATCATTTATTGATGGATTGTAGCACAAATGGTAAGTATCATGACTACAGGTGTGACACATTTAATTTAGGTTAATATTTGCAGAGGTCAAGGTCACTGGAGATGATTAAATATCCAGAATGTTGTCCGGAATCATATTTTCTACATGCATGGAGGAATTTTAATGTTACTTTATAGAATTGTTCACCACCAATCGAGACGTAGTGCCCTGGCACATGAACCAAGTCTCTAGTCAAAGGTAAGGTCACAGTTAGAGCTCATAGAAAAACGCTTGTCTGGAGCAAAACTTCTACATGCATAGAGGGATTTCAATATAATTTGGCACAAATTTGTTCATCATTGTGAGGCTGAGTGCCGTGCAATAAATTCAGGTCCCTGCAACCAAGGTCAAGGTCACACATCCTGTTGCATATCTTCCCTACTGATTTGTTTTAAGGTTCATTTAACAACACAGTGCCAAGAATAAAAACTTGCTTGCTAGATAACACTTATCCATAATGCCCCCATCTCCATCTAAAGCTTTCGTAAACGGGCGTATTTTGTGACTATGGCACGCTTGTTCTGGTTTAGTATCAATATTTTTTCCGTAATAATTATGCAGTCATAGAAAGGTAAATAAAAAAAATATGCTGCCTAAAAAATCTTCCGTGGGCACTCTATACTGTACTCAGACAATAATGTACATTACACACACATCAATTGCGTCATATGCATTTATACTTGTCAACTGTGTAATTGAGATAGAGGTTTGTAGACTTTGTTTGCTTCTGGATTATAATTGGACTTAATTATTTTGGCCCTCTGGGTGTTATAATAGGTATTATTTATCTGATTTAAGGACAATAAAAAGGGTGAAGTCGTTTAAATCAGACCAAGCAATTGCATGGGACCTGACATTAATTAGGGTCGCTTGTCACATATGACAAAGGAGAGTTTAATTCAGACCATTTATATAGATAAAGTTGGAGTGACTGAAACAAGGTCGGATAAGACAGGGAGTCGTTTAATCAGGGGTCGTTTTCTAAGGCAGTCTCGACTGTATTACAATTCCAGGGGGGGTTGCCAGAAGGGGGAATGTGCCCCCTTCTGTTTGGGGTGTTTGAAGGGGGGGAGGAGTCCCCCCTCATTGCCGAAGGAAAATTTTTGGACATGTGACAGGCTAAAAAATGGCCTCAGGTCGATCTACAGGGTAAACAAGTAACCGATGCTGAAAAGCCTTTTACTCTATCTCAAATTCATTCGGAGAAGTTGCAGCATACTTTGAAATCAGTTTTTGAATGGAAAAAAAAACAATGCAAAATAGTGATTTTTGGCAATTTTGAGACGTCCCGCCATTGCCCATGGTAACAGGAATTTTTACCATTGAGCTTGCTGTTACAGAGGCTAATGGTGTAGTCAACATTGTGCCAAGTTTCATTTAGTATTAGAGCATTTTTTAGCTCACCTGTCACAAAGTGACAGGGTGGAGCTTTTGTGATCGCTTTTCGTCCGGCGGTCGTCCGGCGTCAGTCCCGACCGTAAAACTTTTTACTGTTAAATGAACATCTCCTCATAAACCACTGTAAGTCCAATTTCATCCAAAGCTTCACAGGAATGTTCCTTTGGTGGTCACCGGCTTTAAAAAAATTGTTCAAAGAATTTAATTCATGCAGAACTCTGGTTGCCATGGCAACCGAAAAGAAAAAAAACTTTAAATGTATCTTCTTTTAAAAAACCGATAAAGAGCTAAAGCTTATATATTTGGCAATGAAACATCTTCCAGTGAGTGTCTACGCAAGTTTGTTCAAATAAAGCTTGGGGGGTCAAAATTGGCTAGCCCGCCCCAGGGGATCATTGATTTTCCCTATATGCATATAGTAAAAACTTAAAAAATCTTCTTTAAAAGAACCCAAAGAGCTAGAACTAAGATATTTAGCATGAAACATGTTCTAATGGGTGTCTACCAAGTTTGTTCAAATAAAAGCCCTATGGTCAAAATTGGCCCCGCCCCGGGGGTCATTGATTTTCCCTATATGCATATAGTAAAAACTTAAAAAATCTTCTTTTAAAGAACTCAAAGAGCTATGGCTAAGATATTGAGTGTCAAACATGTTCTAAACGGTGTCTACCAAGTTTGTTAAAATAAAAGCCCTGGGGTCAAAATTGGCACCGCCCCAGGGGGTCATTGATTTTCCCTATATGCATATAGTAAAAACTTAAAAAAACTTCTTTTAAAGAACCAAAAGAGTTAGAGCTAAGATATTTAGCATGAAACATGTTCTAATGAGTGTCTACCAAGTTTGTTCAAATAAAATCCCTGGGGTCAAAATTGGCCCCGCCCCGGGGGGTCATTGATTTTCCCTATATGCATATAGTAAAAACTTAAAAAATCTTCTTTTAAAGAACTCAAAGAGCTATGGCTAAGATATTTAGCATCAAACATGTTCTAATAAATGTCTACCAGGTTTGATCGAATAAAAGCCCTGGGGTCAAAATTGGCACCGCCCCGGGGGTTATTGATTTTCCTTATATGTGTATAGCAAAATCTTCTTTGAATAAACCCAAATAGCTAGAGTTAAGATATTAAGCATGAAACATCTTTTAGTGAATGTCTACAAAGTTTGGTCATATAAAAGACCTGGGGTAAAAATTGGCCCCGCCCCGGGGGTCATTGGTTTTCTTTATATGTGTATATATAGCAAAAACTTAAATCTTCTTTGAAAAAACCCAAATAGCTAGAGTTTAGATATTAAGCATGAAACATCTTCTAGTTAGTGTCTACAAAGTTTGTTCAAATAAAAGCCCTTGGGTCAAAACTGGCCCCGCCCCAGGGGTGTCATTTGTTTCTAACTATGTGTGTATAGTAAAAACTTAAAAAATCTTCTTTTAAAAAGGCAATGAGCTAGAGCTTAGATGTTTAGCATGAAACAATCTTCTTAAATGGGTGTCTACCGAGTTTGTGCAAATAAAAGCCCTTGGGTAAATTGGCCCTGCCAACGTTGGGGGGGGGGGGGGGGTTATTGGGGGGGGGCTATATACAGGTGAAAGGCGCCCTCAGGGCCCATCATGGCCCTCCTTGTTCATAGTTCATAGCAGTTTGACTTGTTACAGGAGGCTTTTCCAATTGAAAACGGCCATTTTTCGCAATATGCTCATGGGGTAAAAGGTTAAGAATCGCCAATTTTGGGAGAAAATGTTATTGTCCTTGAATTCATTTTGCTTGGGAGGTGCTATATGCATACATATTGTAAATATATTATTAGTGTGCATCGGGATTAATATAGAAGGGTTCCATAGATAATCCATAGCAACAAACAATGCTGATGCAACCTTAACTGTACTGAAATGTTTTAATGTCTAACTAAATTTGATTTTCAGACATTGCAAAGCTAGAAGCATGTCTCAAGTCATTGCTACACGAGAACCAGCAGTTATGTACAGAGGCAGCATGCACTTCCCTGTCAACCACACGACTCCAGCAACGGCTGGCTGTACTCGAGCGCTACTTCAGCGCCGTCTCCAGGCAAACACCACCAGAGAAAAGTGGTCCATCCAAAAAGAGTCAGGCAAATCAAACCAATCTGAACAAACAGAAAAGGTGTGTGTAAACAATACTTGAAAATTTCCAATTATAAAAAAATGCATTTTAATATAATAATTTTAATTTAGATGTAAGTTTAGACTTAATTTAGAAAGTGATCAACTCTAAAAATTGACTTGAATCAAGAACAAGCTAAAATTGACTATTAAGTATGAAACATAAAGACAAATCAGTTACACAGTTTCAAAATAAACCAATCGGCTGAATAAAAATTGAAATGTTGACCTATGAAACAAAATAACCAAACCAGAGGTCAACTTTATTCAAATGAAATATTACAAATTCACAGAGCTTTATCAACTTTTAACAGGTGTATTGAAATATGATAAATGTAAGAAAAGAATAAAAGTTGCATAAATAGCTTAATCAAAACAAACATGTAAAGGTTTCTAGGTAATGGTTGTCATAGTTCAATATTACTGTTCAGTTATACAAATGTATTAAAAATGGTTATCATATTTTTCTCTTGGTTGTAGCAATATAAAACCAGCAGAGAAAGCAACCATGGGCCTGGCTAGAGTAGGGTCTCGGGCAGCACTTAGTTTCGCCTTTGCTTTCCTTCGGCGCGCATGGAGGTCTGGAGAAGATTCGGACCTGTGTTCAGAGCTGTTGCAAGAGTCCCTAGAAGCCCTGCAGTCTTTGCCAGAGGCCAGTTTATTTGAAGATGGCTCTGTTTCTGGTGTATGGCTGGATGTTGTAGAAAGAGCTGGGAAGTTTCTCCATTCTGTTGTTGCTGGGTAGGTCTTTGTATAATAATATTTCCTGTCACAAGATTGATAAGGTTTAATCCCTGCATCACCCTAACAATTCAAGACACTTGTTAACGCTCTGTTTTGTTTTTAAGAATGACAACAATCTGTCCAGCCTTAGTTTGAGTAATGCAAAACTCTGAGGGGCATGCCATTAATTATAAATTTGGTATATTTTTAGCTCACCTGTCACAAAGTGACAGGGTTTTGTGACAGGGTGAGCTTTTGTGATCGCTTTTCGTCCGTCGTCCGTCCGTAAACTTTTGCTTCAAATGACATCTCCGCATAAACCACTAAGCCAATTTCATCCAAACTTCACAGCAATGTTCCTTTGGTGGTCACCTTTAAAAATTGTTCAAAGAATTTAATTCCATGCAGAACTCTGGTTGCCATGGCAACCGAAAGAAAAAACTTTAAATATCTTCTTTAAAAGAACCCAAAGAGCTAGAGCTTAGATATTTGGCATGAAACATCTTCTAATGAGTGTCTACCAAGTTTGTTCAAATAAAAGCCCTTGGGTTAAAATTGGCCCCGCCCCAGGGGGTCATTGATTTTCCCTATATGCATATAGTAATAACTTAAAAAATCTTCTTTTAAAGAACCCAAAGAGGTAGAGCTTAGATATTTGGCATGAAGCATTTTCTAATGAGTGTTTACCAAGTTTGTTCAAATAAAAGCCTTGGGGTCAAAATTGGCCCCGCCCCAGGGGGTCATTGATTTTCCCTATATGCATATAGTAAAAACTTAAAAAATCTTCTTTTAAAGAACCCAAAGAGCTAGAGCTAAGATATTTAGCATGAAACATGTTCTAATGAGTGTCTACCAAGTTTGTTCAAATAAAAGCCCTTGGGTCAAAATTGGCCCCGCACCAGTGGGGTCATTGATTTTCCCTATATGCATATAGTAAAAACTTTAAAAAATCCTCTTTTAAAGAACTCAAAGAGCTAGAGCTGAGATATATAGCATGAAACATGTTCTAATGGGTGTCTACTAAGTTTGTTCAAATTGAAGCCCTGGGGTCAAAATTGGCCCTGCCCCGGTGGTCATTGATTTTCCTTATATGTGTATAGCAAAAACTTAAAAAACCTCTTTGAAAAAATCCTAAATAGCTAGAGTTTAGATATTAAGCATGAAACATCTTCTAGTGAGTGTCTACAAAGTTTGTTCAAATTAAAGCCCTGGGGTCAAAATTGGCCCCGTCCGGAGGGTCATTGATTTCCTTATATGTGTATAGCAAAAACTTAAAAAATCTTCTTTGAAAAAACCCAAATAGCTAGAGTTAGATATTAAGCATGAAACATCTTCTAATAAGTGTCTACAAAGTTTGTTCAAATAAAAGCCCTTGGGTCAAAACTGGCCCCGCCCCAGGGGTGTCATTGTTTTTAACTATATGTGTATAGTAAAAACTTAAAAAATCTTCTTTTAAAATGCCCAATGAGCTAGAGCTTAGATGTTTAGCATGAAACATCTTCTTATGGGTGTCTACCAAGTTTGTTTAAATAAAAGCCCTTGGGTTAAAATTAACTCTGCTGGGGGGGGGGGGGGAGAAGGTCATTGTTTTCCTTATATGTGTATAGCAAAAAACATCATGAAACATCTTCTAATGGGTGTCTTAATTCCAAGTTTGTTCAAACCTGGGGTTTAAACTGGCCCCGCATCGGGGGCCAATATACAGGTGAGCGACCTTATGGCCATCATGGCCCTCTTGTTTAAACAATTGAGCGGTTGTATGGGGAGATTTTGAAATTTTTTCTTAAGCTCATCTATTCGAAGAATATGGAAAGCTATTGCAGTAGCCCCGGCTTCGGCGTCCACGTCCAAGTCAGAATCTGCGTTGGTTAAAGTTTTTTGTGAAGTCAAATATCTCAATTACTGCTTGGGTTATTCAGTTGAAATTTACAGTACTTATTTATAGTAACAATGTTCATCAGATTGACAAGTTGGATAACTCTGCCTACAATATTTACAGAGTTATGCCCTTTTTAACTTAGAAATTTTGGTTAAAAGTTTTTTGTAAAGTCAAATATCTCAATTATTGCTTGAGATATTCAATTGAAATTTTCAATACTTCTTTATAGTAACAATGTACATCAGTTTGCAAAGTTGCATAACTCTGACTGCAATATTTGCAGAATTTTGCCCCTTTGAAACTTGGAAATTTGGGTGGAAGGTTTAAGGTGTTAAGATCTATCAAAGATATTTAATTGAAACTTAACACATGTACTTAGGGTCATAATTGAAGGTACATCTCAAGATCCATTACTGTGCCATGTATTTTGACTGACTTATGCTCCCTTTTGTACTAAAACAAAACTGAATCAAACAACATTATTTTGGATGAGTAGTGCTACATTGCCTGTGACAAGCTCTATAATAATGTTATCCATGCTAATGACCACCTCCGTGGTCAAGGGGTTAGAGTCGATGACTTCTAATCCAGTTACCTCTCTGGCTAGGTTCGAACCCCGGGAGATGCTTTGGTAATTAAGTGCAAAGGAAGGTAGTCTAGTACTGGTGTAACGCTCCAGGAATGATGGTTAGGAAACTACCCAACTGTATGACTGAAATACTGTTGGAAAAAGGTGTAAAATTAAACAAACAAACAACAAAAAAATTGATTATTATGATAATCTTTGTAATTTTTAGCTCGACTATACGAAGTATATGGAGAGCTGTCCTACTCGCCCCGGCGTCCGCGTCCAGATTTTAGATTAAAGTTTTGGTGCAGTAAAATATTTTTCACTATAACTTTGTCATTTCTTAAGGTATCAACTTCAAACTTCAAATATATGTTCCTTATCATCAACCACATCTTATGTGACAAGGTTCATAACTCTAGCACCAATATTTTCAGATTTATCTCCCCTTGAACTTAGAATTTTAAAATTCTTAAAAAATACTATTTCTTACTGTTTCTTCTTTATTTCTTAAGGGATCAACCTCATACTTCAAATATATTTACGTTATCATCATCCCCATCTTATGTGACAAGGTTCATAACTCTAGCACCAATATTTCAGATTTATCTCCCTTTGAACATAGAATTTTCCATACAAAATATTATTTTTTACTGTAACTTATTTATTTCTAAAGGGATCAACTTCATACTTCAAATATATTTACGTTATCATCATCAACATCTTATGTGACAAGGTTCATAACTCTAGCACCAATATTGCAAGAATTATCTCCCCATAAACTTAGATTTATTTACTAGAAAAATGTTATTTTTTATTTTAACTTTTTTATTTTTAAAGGTATCTACCTCAAACTTCAAATACTTATTCCTTATCATCAATTACATTTTATGTGACAATGTTTTATATCTCTTGAAGCAATATTTACAGATTTATCTCACTTTGAACTTGGAATTTTCTTTAAGAAATATAATAACTTCTTTATTTTTTAAGGTATCTACTTCAAACATCAAATATATATTTCTTATCATTACACAAATGTTGTGTGGCAAGGTCCATAACTCTAGCATGACTATTTCTAGAATTATTCCCCTTGACTTTGGAATTTATGTTAACAAATGTTATTTTTTTACTATAACTTAATACATAATTATACATAATTGATTTTTCTTTCATAGTTTTGTCCTCCTTACTGCGTCCAGTATTTTATAAGTCGAGCTTTGCTGTCTTCTGTGACAGCTCTTGTTAGCTCACCTGTCACAAAGTGTCAGGGTGAGCTTTTGTGATCGCTTTTCGTCCGTCCGTAAACTTTTGCTTCAAATGACATCTCCTCATAAACCACTAGGCCAATTTCATCCAAACTTCACAGGAATGTTCCTTTGGTGGTCATCTTTAAAAAAATTGTTCAAAGAATTTAATTCCATGCAGAACTCTTGTTGCCATGGCAACCGAAAGAAAAACTTTAAATATCTTCTTTTAAAGAACCCAAAGAGCTAGAGCTTAGATATTTGGCATGAAACATCTTCTAATGAGTGTCTACCAAATTTGTTCAAATAAAAGCCCTGGGGTCAAAATTGGCCCCGCCCCAGGGGGTCATTGATTTTCCCTATATGCATTGCATATAGTAAAAACTTAAAAAATCTTCTTTTAAAGTACCCAAAGAGCTAGAGCTTAGATATTTGGCATGAAACATTTTCTTATGAGTGTCTACCAAGTTTGTTCAAATAAAAGCCCTGGGGTCAAAATTGGCCCCGCCCTAGGGGGTCATTGATTTTCCCTATATGCATATAGTAAAAACTTAAAAAATCTTCTTTTAAAGAACCCAAATAGCTAGAGTTTAGATATTAAGCATGAAACATCTTCTAGTGAGTGTCTACAAAGTTTGTTCAAATTAAAGCCCTGGGGTCAAAATTGGCCTCGTCCCGGGGGTCATTGATTTCCTTATATGTGTATAGCAAAAACTTAAAAAATCTTCTTTGAAAAAACCCAAATAGCTAGAGTTAGATTTTAAGCATGAAACATCTTCTAATAAGTGTCTACAAAGTTTGTTCAAATAAAAGCCCTTAGGTCAAAACTGGCCCCGCCCCAGGGGTGTCATTGTTTTTAACTATATGTGTATAGTTAAAACTTAAAAAATCTTCTTTTAAAAAACCAATGAGCTAGAGCTTAGATGTTTAGCATGAAATCTCTTCTTATGGGTGTCTACCAAGTTTGTTCAAATAAAAGCCCTTGGGTTAAAATTAACTCTGCCGGGGGGGAGGGGGGGGGGGAAAGGTCATTGTTTTTCCTAATATATGTGTATAGCAAAAACTTAACATCTAATGGGTGTCTTAATTCCAAGTTTGTTCAAATAAAAGTCCTGGGGTTTAAACTGGCCCCGCTTCGGGGGCCTATATACAGGTGAGCGACCTCAGGGCCATCATGGCGCTCTTGTTGTGTTCTTCTTTGCTATAGCTTTGAATATATAGAACAGGAACTAAATATACTATATTTCACTCAATTACAAGCAATATGATATGTTTCTTAAATCTCACTTGCATTTTTAGCTCGACTTTTCTATGAAAAGGGGAG